TATAAGCAATGGAATATTACTCAGCCTAAAAGGAATGAAATAATGGCATTTGCAGTTACATGTATGGACCTAGAGATTATCATACTAAGTGAAGTAAGTCAGAAACAGAAAGACATATATCATATGATATCACTTATATGTGGAATCTAAAATGTGACATAAATGAACATATCTATGAAACAAACAGACTCACAGACACAGAGAACAGACTTGTGGTGCCCAGTGGGAGGGGGTGGGGGAAGGGTTGGATTGAGAGTTTGGGATTAGCAGATGCAAACTATTATAATAGGATGGATAAACAACAAGGTCCTACTGTATAGCACAGGGGACTATATTCAGTATCCTGTGACAAACCATAATGGAAAAGAATATGAAAAATGTATATATATGTATAACTGAATCACTTTGCTGTACAGCAGAAATTAATACAACATTGTAAATCAACTGTACTTCAATAAAAAAATTTCACCCCCTCCAATTTTCAATTCCCTAATGGCATGTGCTGATGGACAGCTGTTCATATGCTTTCTTGCCATCTGTATATCTTCTTTGATGAGGTGACTATTCAGGTCTTTTGGCCATTTTTTTAGTAAAAATAATTTATTTTTTCGTTTTCCACAGTTACTTAAATTTACATTTTTATGAAAATATATTTAAATTTTATAGACTGAATACAATTACATTTCACTTTTAAATTACTGTCAACAGAACAGAGTGTTTGTGAAAAGTCTTGATTAAAATAATTAATGATTTTACTAAACTAAAGGCAAGTAAAGTAAATTTTATGAAAAGAATATGTAATAGTCTATAAGTTATGTGAACCCGTATTTTATTATTAATCCAAATATCACTGGTACATGAATAGAACAACCAGATGTGCACAAAAACTATGCAGTTGTCTTTGATATTTTGCAAATATTCAGTCACTTAAAAATGATAACTTTAGGGAGTTCCCTGGTGGTCCAGTGGTTAAGACTGCGTGCTTCCAATGCAGGGGATACAGGTTCGATCCCTGGTCGGGGAGCCCTCATACTGCGCGATGTGGCCAAAAAGAAAAAAGATAACTTTACACACAGTTGTCATTGTAAAGGTACATTTTCAAAGCAGGACAATAAAATGTTTGTTGAACAGTTTGATAGCTTTAGTTATAGTGTTTGTATATTTCTACGTATGGTACGGAGGCTTCCATTTCTACTCTGTCCTGGGCTCCCTGAGTGTTATGGGCGGAACTAAACCCTATTCTTTCCCACTGGCTGACAATTTGTTGTGCACCAGATTCTCCCACCCCAGGGGCTTTGAAAAGAAAATTCCATAAGACTGCTCCCTGCCTGCCCCCCACCACTACACTGTTTTCCCCCCATTACACTCCTCTGCTGAGGCTGTGGGCACAGAGACCAACATCTGCTTGAATAGAGAGAAAAGGAACAGGAAGAATATAGAACTACAAAGTTGTTTTTAAGAAGGGTTACTATTTACAAACACTACCTTACCGCACCTGGATGAAGGTGTGAACAATATTCCCCCGGAGCACAGAGGAGCCGAAGTGGCGAACACTCCATACACGGGCAGTTTAAGGACAGCCTCCCTGTTGTGACTTGAAGTTTCTAAGTGAACTTCTAGATTATGGGTTGTGGGTCCTGAATCCTGTGATGGCCTTGCACCAAAGAGGACGAAAGATCGATCAGTTATGATTCAATAATAAAATAATGAAGTGAAATATATCTATATGTATATAGACATGTTTCAATTATAAATATTCATATTTTTGAGGGTGTCTCCTTAAGCATATTCTACCTCTCTGGTTGTAAAAATCAAAAGAGTTTGGAAATCACTGCAGTGAGGCAGTGCGTCAGTATGTGGCCTGCAGACCACCTGGTGCCGAATGGAGGTCCTAGGGCATGCCGCAGCAGTGTGTGAAGGTGTGTCTTGGGAGTTTTTCTGTAACAAGCTGCCGAGTTCTTGTGCGCACTAGTGTTGGAAAACCGTTGTGCATAAGGGCTAAGGAAGATTGTCCTGCTGCACTGTGGAGAAAGGAAAAGAGGGTCAAGAAAGTGAAGTTAAGAACAGGTACTGTGGTTTTATTTTAAAAAATTTTTTTCACATTTAAAGAAAATTGAAGTATAGTTGATTACAAAGCTGTGTTTCAGGTGTACAGCAATGTGATTTAGTTATACATATATATATGTATATATATATATATATATGTATATATCTGTTCTTTTTCTGATTCTTTTCCCTTATAGGCTATTACCAGATATTGAATATAGTCGCTGTGCTATACATTAGGTCCTTGTTGGTTCTCTATTTTATACGTAGTAGTGTGTATATGTTAATCCCAGACTCCCAATTTACCCCTCTTCCTACTGCAGTTTATTAATTCAAAACTTAGATGGTGATGGGCTTCCCTGGTGGCGCAGTGGTTGAGAGTCCGCCTGCCGATGCAGGGGACACGGGTTCGTGCCCCGGTCCGGGAAGATCCCACATGCCGCGGAGCGGCTGGGCCCGTGAGCCATGGCCGCTGAGCCTGCGCGTCCGGAGCCTGTGCTCGCAACGGGGGAGGCCACAGCAGTGAGAGGCCCGCAAAACTTAGATGGTGAAAGCCAGCTCTAAGGGGAGTGGCAGTGGGAACAGGGAAGAAAGTATGGACCCGAAGAACATCTTGAAGGTAAATTATATAAACTTTATTGTCTAGATATAGGAAGTTTAGGAAGAGAATAAATCTTAGATTTCACATTTTCTAAATTAATTAATTTTATTTTTGGCTGCGTTGCATCTTCGTTGCTGTGCACGGGCTTTCTCTAGTTGTGGCGAGCGGGGACTACTCTTTGTTGTGGTGCATGGGCTTCTCATTGCAGTGGCTTCTCTCGTTTTGGAGCACAGGCTCTAGGCACGTGGGCTTCAGTAGTTGTGGCACGCAGGCTCAGTAGTTGTGGCACACAGTCTTAATTGCTCCGCGGCATGTGGGATCTTCCCGGACCAGGGCTCGAACCCCTGTCCCCTGCATTGGTAGGTGGATTCTTAACCACTGTGCCACCAGGGAAGCCCAGAGTTCACATTTTAAAGAATTATTTCTCCCAATAAACTATCTAGTTGCCCATTCCTCTCCCAACCTCCCACCTCCCAATTTGTAGGCCCGTTGAGAATAAGCGATTTGCCAAAGGTCACACATCTACATAGTGACAAACTTTGAATAGAGACCAAACGTTTAGGCACTAAGGCCAATAGTCTTGCCACCAAACCATGAGTCGCACGTTTCTAGGTATTGAGAAAATGGGTCTGCCATTCAGTATTTTGTTGAAGATCATCTACATGTTGAGCAATGGGCACTGTGCTAAGGGCTGGGATTAGAATGGTGAATAAATATGTTACCTGCTCCCCATTTAACTCACTGTCTGGTTGATAACACAGTGATGCTTTTGCCAGAGAAGGTTCAGGATGGGAGGCTGATGTAGTGATGGGGATGTGATGAGTTATTTTAATGTACGTTAGTTTGGGGCATGCTGGATTTGATGTCTACATTTCATGTACATACAAATTGCCTCATTCTCCCTGCAAAATACATGGACGTATTTATTTATGTATATGTGTAGGTTAAGCAAACCTTCCCTAGGTGTCTCTTGGGATAAGGGAAAGAGAGAAGTGTAAATAGTGAGGAGAAGGTTTATCACATCCGTTAAAAATACCCTTCCTGAATTTGTAGCAATGCGACCTCTGGCTTGTGGAAAAGAATATGAGGTTGTTTTACCAGATGGAACAAAGTTGCAGGTTTTTGATGTGATTTTTTTTTTATCATTACTGAGATATATCTTTCTTCTGTAAAATGTGTCTTGTCTCCAGGGTGGGTTATTTTTTTAGATTCTTCTATCCTTTGGAAAGAGACAAAGCACAAAGGCAGTATTAGCTGTTTGCAGCCTATACTCTGTAAGTTGGCTCTTAGCCAGGTTTCTTCACAGAGATGGGCAGCGTGCCTTTGCCCTACCTTGCGTCGGGAACAGGAAAATGAATTAACTTGGACATACTTTGGATGATTTGCAGCATGAAAACTGATATCCATAGGTTTAAAATGAATGTACTCTCTAAATACTTGGGCTCAGAAAAGTTTAGATGAAAATACTCTGTGACGACTCAAAGACAGAACATTGAGAAATAATAAAATTATAATCACTTCAGAGAATTTAAAGAGACACATTGAACAAAATACCTGTGGATGGAAGTGGACACAGCTCTGAATGTGACTGCTTGAATATACTTCTGAGAGATTTTTCTAGCTGTTAAAGAAAATTTTTATGTTGAGGAAGAGGTCTTGGGTTTTTTATATGCTCACGTGATACAATCTACTTCTTTTCTTCTTCCCTCAAGTAAGGAAGCATAAACATCAAGGAAAAATTTGAAAACTGTAATATTTAATAATTTACTAATAGCAAAATGTCTTCATACCTTTTACCATTTTGAGTATTGAATAATAAAAAATAGAATAGAGCCACGAAATCAAGTTCTGTATGATTACAGAGAAGTAGAAATATTTTTACTTCTTTTAGTTTATAACTTGAATTTAAAATGAAAACAGAAGAAACAGAAAGAAGAGGAAGAGGAGAAAAGGGAAAGGGGAATATTGTGATAGATTTTAAAAATTCTTTTGAAGACTTTTTGTTTCTTTAGAGAAACAGGCACAATTTTTCCTGATTTTGCGTACACCATATCAGTTATTGTTAATATGATCTAGAAGGCTTTCTTTTCCATATTTAGACATTATGTTGGTATAGCTAATAATTCCCATAAAAGAAAAAAGTACCCTCATATTAAATGGGGTTGAAGTAACTTACACAGTCACAAGTGGAACAGTTTGAAAAACGCTGCTTATATTTCTTAATTATCGATATTTATTTATGAGCGTAATTCTCTGTTTACCAATCGTCATTAATCCTTACAGCTTTATGGTTTATGTGCTCCCTTAGGCATGAGGTAATGACTTTGGTTAACAAATTTTACTATTCTTACAGTTTTCTGGATTTACCTTAGCAACTTGGCATTCTACAAAGTCATGAACTGAAGGAAAGGATTTTCCTGAGAAGAGAACTTACAACAGCCTAACAGAAGCATGAGCACACGGTACGTGATCAAAGACCCCAAAGAGTTTCTGTCAATAACTAGGTAAATGGGAATCTCAGTGGTACAACTTAAGGGTAAGAAGTTCTGAGCAGACTCAGTGAGGGCTTTATTGTCTGAGAGTTTGCAGTTCCAAGGGGAAATGAATATATCTCTTCATTTCACTGTTCCCGGAGCCCTAATCACTGGTGAAAATAGTATATTCCATGAATTTATCAATATTTAACAATATTTCTCAAAGCAAGTTCCCGTGTTTAACAAGAAATACCCCTGAGTGCTGCTTAAACGTACTTATAGTTCTCTTATGAAGACAATTGGCAAAGACTTGTTATGCTCTGATTAGTTTATTAGTTCATTCTGGATCTGATAGAGAGTTTTGAGGCATTGTCTGTCAACTTGCAAGAAATTAGGACAGGAAATGCCTTTGAATTGTCTTTGCTCATTTAACCATGTCTCTGCAGATGTTCACTATTTTAATATGTCTTTTATTTGGAAAGTGCACTATTTGTGTAATCAATTAGAGATGTACAACTCTGAATAAATGGAGAAGTTTATAAGTAGATTAAAATGCTAAAGAGACATACTTCCCCTTCAAATGAGTGCCAACCTGCACATCAACATATGATTAATTCTGAGTGTCAAAAGATCATTTCAGGCTCCCTAGTTAGTTCATGCAGTGATAATAAAAAATTACACAGTATAATGTTTACAAAGGCAGCCCATAATGATAGTTTAGCTTGTACTTAGGTTATTTACAAGTGATCATAAATTACTTTTTCTGTAAGAATGGAAATATGAAAGAGTTGTTGCTTTAAGGATCAAATTACTTAAAATAATTCTGTAGAAAATATTAGTGGTGTTTTCAAGAAGTGCGGTGCAAAACTCAACTCTCACTATTTTTTCTTTCCCCAACTCCTGTTTAATCTTGTTATTTTAATATGAATGAGTTAGTGAGATGGAAATACAGCGCAGTAAAGAGAGATTAGACTTTTGAGCTAGATACAGGGCTGTGGCACTGGATAGCTCCAAGGGGTACCATTCATGTAATAGGCTCTGTGAATGGCATTCCTGGAGTTGTGCAGTATACACCATGGCTCACCACACACAGTGGCCTTGTGGTAGAGTAATGTTGGAGACTTGATTAAATAGTGTTGGGCAAAGTTCTTGGCTCTCTTTGCACCTTCGTTTCCTCGTCTATAAACTGCAGATGATTTTACCTACCAGATGTGGTTCTTTTGTGAAGATGGGGTTTTACAAGGGTTTATTTCCATAACAGCACTTAACATAGTACCAAGCACGTGGTAAGTGCTCAATAACTTAGCCCTGAAAGTAGGTAAATGAGATGAAATCTGACAAGTTGATTAAAAGAGGGGAAAAGATGATATTCACTTAGGGTCTACAACTTAAAAGAAAGGAAAAATGAAATCAGTCTGGAAAGGCGGCCTAAGCCTTTATGTGGCACCTGAGGTTTGCTCCTTGTACTGAATGCAGGCCTTTAAGAGGGCAGGTGACACAGAATGGATATATGCATATTATCAGAAGTTTGAAACCTTCAAATATTTAAAACTAGCCCTGCTTATGTATCATGACAAACAGCAAAATTAAATCAGAGAGTTGGTGGTGCTTTCCATCTCAGTTTTAAAATTCTTTCAAAGTAATTCATTTCACTATTTCTGTTCCAACCCATTTTTTCTAAGTGCTTTAGCAAAGACTTTAATAATTAGCAATGCTACACACATGTGTATGCATGTACACACACAAATAAGTGCACACACACCCCCTATAGATTTTGGATACTGAATTTAAGAATGGTAATTTCTATCATATAAACTTTAGACTTTTACAACAAAATATAAAGCAGACATTGGAAATTGTATTTCAGAAAAAGACATTACAACAAAGAAAAAAGATAGAAGAGAGTTTGTATAATTCAATATAATAAAAATAAAAGTGTAATAACAATTACTATAGCTATCAATCTTCAATAATCTGTGAAAAATCTAGCCTCAAATGCAATGAAGCTTTATAAGAATTGTGATTACAGAGTGTAAAATATAACAGATGCTACAATATTTAGATGCCTGCTGGCATTTACCTTTTTCTCTGCACAGTTCATTTCAACTATATGAAAATTTTATGTGCTATATAAAAGTAGAGAAAAAGAAATTTATTTGTAAAATAACCACAGGAGAATTGATGGTGCTTCAGCGATGTGGTATTTGATTCTCTTTGACCAGATGAACTATGTGAGAAAGTGGAGAATTTGATGATACAGTATTACTTTCAGTTTTCATATGGTGGGAGATGCACAGGGCAAAAAATAACACTGGTGTTGAATTCAATTACTTTCTCTGTGGTGTTCAGAGCTGACTTTTTAAGATAGGAGCCCTATTGTTTACAGGAGAAATGGTTTTGCTTTGAGGATTGCAATGGAAAGGTATTGGCTTTGGTGACTTTGGAGAAATGGCCAATGTTATATTTCAGAGGCAGGATACTGGGGGTGCAACATCTCATTTTTTAAAAACACATTTTACAGGTTATTAAATATTAGTCGTCTTCTTTTAAAAAAAATCCTTTTGCTGTCTTACCTATGTTCACATTGTAAACATGATTTTAAATTCCAGATCCCCTAAAAAAAACAAAACCCTAAACTGTCTACTTTTGAATATTTATGTTCCCTCTTTTAAAAGGTTTATTTTAAAATTTCCCATTATATCATTTTTTTTTTTCAGAAAAACCTTTTTATTGAGAAAAAAAAATTCTAGATCTGCAAACTAGAAACCTAGAAGTCATTCTTGGATACCTTTATCTCCATCTTCCCCCCATCCCCAAATCACTAACTTCTATCAATTTTTATCTTCTAGTATCCATTAAATCTGTCTGCTTCTCTCTGTTACCACTTGTACTACTCTTCCTGGAACGATGGAAACATATCTTATTCTCCCTGCATCTACATTTCTAAAGCAAATTCATTTTCCATAATTTTTCAAAATGTAAATCTGACCTTGTTCTACCTATATTTACTTCAAGGAATTCCCACTGATCTTAGAACGGAGACCAACATTCTCAGTAGGGCCCACAAGCACTGAGTTGGCTTTGAAACAGCCGACTCTCAGCTGCATCTCCCCTGGCTCTCTGCAGTCTCCAGTCCTCTTCTACATTTCTAGGATCTGAAAGCCTTTATTATTATTTTTCAAAATTAGGAACTTCCACCCTGCCAGCAGTACTTCAGATTGAAATTCATGCAACCTTGGATGTGCATGAAGGTGTACCATGCACAATGGTAGTTTTATTTTTTATTTTTTTAATAAATGTATTTATTTTATTTATTTTTAATTTTGGCTGCATTGGGTCTTCAATGCTGCACGCGGGCTTTCTCTAGTTGTGGCGAGCGGGGGCTACTCTTGGCTGTGGTGCGCAGGCTTCTCTCACCGCAGTGGCTTCTCTTGTTGCGGAGCACGGGCTCTAGGCACGTGGGCTTCAGTAGTTGTGGCATGCGGGCTCAGTAGTTGTGGCTCGCGGGCTCTAGAGCTCAGGCTCAGTAGTTGTGGCACACGGGCTTAGTTGCTCCATTGCATGTGGGATCTTCCCGGGCCAGGGCTCGAACCTGTGTCCCCTGCACTGGCAGGCGGATTCTTAACCACTGTGTCCCCAGGGAAGACCCCACACTGGTAGTTTTAAAAGAATCGGTTTCCAGGTCCACAACATCCACATGTATTTTTCTCCTATGAACGATCTGCCTCAAGAACATCTGCAGGTGAGGCGTCCAGCTACTTCTCCCCTCCATTCTCACTTTCACAGTCACTCTTTTGCTTTACAAACAAACAAAAGAAGGTGGACCTTTCATTCATTCTGATTCTTATTGTGGAACACTGCATCTCACTGTAGTTTTGATTTGCATTTCCCCTATGATTAGTGATGTTGAGCATCCTTTCAAATACATATAGGCCACCTATTGGTTTGCCTGTTTTGGAGAAATGTCTATTCAGATCCTTTGCCCATTTTTTAAATGGGTTATTTGGGTTTTTGTTTTTTTTTTACTATTGAGTTGTAGGAGTTCCTTATAAATAAGGAAAACAACCCCTTATCAGATGTATGGTTTGCAAAATTTTTCTCCCATTCCATAGGCTGTCTTTTCTCTCTGTTCGATTGTTGCCTTTGCCACACAGCAAAGTTTGATATAGCCCCTCTTACATATTTTTGCATTCCTTGCCTGTGCTTTTGATGTTGTATCCATCTCTGAGAATATTGATAGTAGTATGTGTTTGTTTACATTTTCAGCTCTTTGCATGGTCTACTGCTTCCAACTTGTTTTTGTTCAGTTCTTTCATTTCAGTCTTTCTTTTTCCTCTCAAAGTCTTCCTCCACTGTTTTGTAACCCTTGATTCTCTGCTATATTTAAGACTAGGGGAAAGCTGTAGGAAGTTTTAAATGGGTGAGTGGGACTCGCTACAAGCAAATGTGGTTTGGCTGCTTTCTTTTTTTTTTTTTGGCCCTGCCGTCCGGCAGGCAGGATGTTAGTTTCCTGACCAGCGATCGAACCCATGCCCTCTGCAGTGGAAGTGCAAAGTCCTAACCACTGGACCGCCAGGGAATTCCCCATGGTTTGGCTACTGTATTGAGGAGCCCCTTATATTCATCTCTTTAGGACTTTTCTCTTGTGCTGGTCACATTCCCCAGGGAAGATCCATCCAGTCTCCTGCCTGCAGGATAAAGTCATGGCTGCCAACGTTCCAGGAGCTGATGAAAAAAGAAGAGAGCTAAGGGGAGGTCAGCTTTCAGTAAAAATTCATCCCTTTAATATCCGTTTCCAGTACTCTGCCTTAGAATGCATGGTAACACAGAGACCCTCTGTTCAAGGCAAAAGCAAACTTCCAGCCCTCTGCCGGGGTGGGGATGAGGCCAAGTGGAAGAGGGGATCAGCTTCTGCTTCTTATGGAATTTTGGAACAGTTCTCCTTATTTTAGTTCCCGCTCATTCACTTCCACAATTGGAAGTACCTG